CAGCATTCTAACAATAGTAAAAATTAACTTGAGTTTGCGTAATTATCATGAAAGCAATACATTACAAAGTTGAAATATTCATAGCTGGTACAATATTGTAAACAAATTTGCGTAATTAGAAAAGCAGTGCACTAAGTAAACGACGTTGATATATTCAAAGCCAGTACATACAAGTTGCGTAATTACAGTTCCGTCGGATATAATAAAAATTTTACTAGATCGACACGCGAACCACAAAAGAAAAAGGTTGCTAAGGTAATGCGCCAGTTCAGCGTGTGACTTGAGGTCAAACTTCGGTCAACACACACACACCATCGCCGCGCAGCAAGTTTCGCAAAGTACTTGAAGTTCAATTGCGTTCCAAAATGATGTCGCTGATCACTCAGTTGTCGCAGTGTGTGTTGTGTCATGTCCATGATGCACCCGTTTCGACTTTGACTTGCTTTTCCTTCTTAGTGCATGTTCTTGTTCACGCAAAATGCGACCTCTCACCAATGTATTAAAACACTTTGAATTTATACTTTGCATGATTATATTTGGTCAACGCGAAACATTATTTTTTTCTAAACCATTTTTATCAACGCAGGGTTATTTTTCCAGACAAGATGGACCTGGTAATATCTGCCAAAAGATCGCCCGGGCGATCTTTTGGTCCACATTTTGCTAAAAAAAAATCGAATCCTCCATAAGATCGCCCAGGGCGGGGTATCAGCCGAATCCGGTAGATTGCATAGTAACCAGATATGTTGTTTTCCATATATGTAATGGCACAAAAAGTGTATTTTTATCACCAAAATCATGGCTTGTATATTTTTCTTCCCAACATTTTGCTTAGATATATTGCTATACCTTAAGCCTCCCCAAATTTTAGGCTTGACTAAAAATTTTGTGTGAACACAAACCTAAATATTTAGGCTGCCCTAAATAAGCCACGCCTACGAGGGGTCAATTGGACTACAGAGGAAACAAAATCATTTATCATTATATGGAAAGAAACAAAACTTTCAAAGACAGTATTGCACACGAACAAATTGCAGTCAAATTTGCAAATTTGTCTTCGTCAAGATTTGATATGTAAATACAGAAAAACACCAAGGAGAAACAACACATTGAGGTCCGCCATGCAGGACATTTCTGACGTAACAAATCTGCATTCCAAGAAAAGCGGGCACTTTAGGTCAGCCTTAAATAATGACGTTTTAACTGTGTAAAGGTATCAATACTTTTTTTTTCTAGCAAAATTTGACAAGTATTTTTCACCAAAGTTGTACGAGTAGTGTGCTGTGGAAATTTGCTGGGATAAAATTGTTGCACTATTTTCAAACTTTCATACAATTCATGTCAAATTCTATAAGGAACATCTGATTATTACTGTACATTTAATAATAAATGAGAAACAAGAAGATTCATTATTTTCATAAATAATTACCTATGACCTCATTGTTCTTGTAAAATACCATTCAGACAAAATCCAAAAATGGGGACAGATTTTTCTCTTTGCAATTTTACTTATATCTCATGTCATATCAGGCTCAATTTTAAAATTTATAGCCTGAGAGTTTCATTGCATTGACAGCGTTTGCAAATATCATGTCCACGAAATCTAAGCCCCAAATTGCATCATATTTCAATGTTTATTACAGAGCATACAGTTATTTGGTTTATGCGAGTGCGATACGAAATCATGACTTGTTCTAAAATAGGCCCACAGATCTCTACTAAACTGAAAATCCAGTGAATCACCCACAAACACCCCTGTTCCCACCCTGACAATTTTTAATAAATTAACATTTATTTCATTGAGTTTGTGACCATTATGACATGAATTTCATCATAAATCACAAATCATGGGCAAGGTGGTTACTAGTTTTACTATATTTTTACGATTTTTGCAGTTATCTTATTCGTGTACAAGAGTTAGTTGAAGAGAATGGTCCAGAGTTATTGCTTGAACACGATGACAAAGGCCATACCCCTGTACACTGGGCAGCGTTGGGTGGATTTACAAATATCATACGGTTCATGGTTGATTATAAAATCAACATGGGTGAGTTGAAATATGCTACGCCAATAAAGAAACTTACAAGTTGTATGTAAATGAACACACATGAGCTTAGTGTAAAACGAATCATGTTGATAGTAAAACTACGATTACCATATTTTCTCTATTAGAAGTATATCTCCATTAAACTTGTTTCAGCTAAGAAGACATGCAACTATAAAAAAGTTTGACATTTCTAATTTGATTAAAAATTTTTAAATTCAAGTATATGGATCAATTTCATCATCCATTCACAGATTTCTTTGTACCATGATGTATTACATAAATGAGGGACTGTCGTATTTTCTCTTTTAAACGCATGTCAACTATCTGTGAATGTGCAGCAATACAGTTCATTTTATTTCAATTTTGTACATGGTGTTAAGAAATTCATTAATAATTATCTTGGTTGAATTATATTACACATACATGTACACAGCTACAAACTACATTTCGTTTGTACATAATATTTAATGGATGTGTCCTAGATTTGATGGCCTGGACAATCTCACAGGCAAAAATATTACATGTATGTGACTAAGAAACTAACAAATGGTCTGTATTTGTCCACACACTGTACCATGTTTGGGTAGACATCAAAGTTCATATACATGTCATTGTAAAAATTAATATCATGTCATTGTAAAAATTAATATCATGTCATTGTAAAAATTAATATCATGTCATTGTAAAAATTAATATCATGTCATACAATTCTTGTTGATGTCTGTTTCAGACAGACTGTTTGTGAGCTGGCTATATTGTATTTGATGTTAGATGTTGGACACCTAATTATTGAAAAATGTCCTTATTTTCAAATTTCACATTAAAATATCTCAACCTGAAATAATTAATCGATTACTAAACTTTTTTTAATACACTTAGTTACGAGTATAGAACCACATCATGGCATTTTATGCTAAATACAACCCACGCTAGACTTGCACTCACATGGCCCTGCATTTGATATAATCCTACAGTGTTGGCATTAAGGTTCCCGCTACTCAATCCCATGTGAATAACTTGTCTGTAATGTTTGTTATTTGCTCTATTAGAAGCACACCTCAATAAAGGCATTTATATTTGTGCATATACTTCTAATAGAACAAATACGGTATTTGTTATCATTCCTGCCTATCCTGCTTGGTTTGTCCTTGCCCAGATACTGCTAGGAAGGAGACGCTATCCATGGATGCTCAGATACGAAGATTAGATAAAAACAGATTAAGCAATATCGAGTTTGGTCTTTATAATGATGATTATAATATTCTAGGTATTGTTAAAGTTTCTCCACACAGCACTGATGGCTTTCAGAGTGTCTCTACTTCACTTAAATTGTCTTCATTTTCAAGTTCATGACTCTTATAGAGGAACCTGCTTAAAAGTTTTATGTATACTTCCATTCTGAGAGTTTTCAATTCTCCTTGTACAGGCTTCTATAAGCTTGATAATGTTTTGTGTTTAGAAGATATAAATGGTATTTGGTGGCGGATAATAAACCCTCTCTGGAGAAAATTAGCATATTCAAACTTGAATCAGAATTTCATGTGTTAACAAAAAGCTAGATGACTATGTGTGCTCCTTATTTTATGATTTAATTTTTCCATGTACAGGTTTAGCTCCCACAGATTTTTTGAATGAGGTAAACTCGTAAAAACTAAAAACTAGCTTTAGTACATTTTAACAGGAAATTGAAAAAACTTTGAACATTGTTGTTTTGAGTTGAAGTGTATAGTTATAGACGTAAAAATTTACCTGTTTCACTGAAAAGTACATATTAAGCTATAGTGCATTACTGTGATTACATGATTGGACAAGCCAGGGTGGAGTATGTACATTGATCAAACATTCTGAACATTGCTGGTCTTCTGAATATTGACAGGTACATGTGTATTACTAATATAGGTGTTAACACACACATAAAATCAATGATGTGTTTTTCAAAACCAAAATCATCGTAAATTTAAAACATGTCAAATCTGGTCGCAATTTATGAATATCCTCACATACAGTTAGTTTGCAGTAAATAGCCTGAATGTCCAACTATGGTACATTATATACATATATACTGGTATACAAATATATATATACATGTATATAGATGGTTAATGCAGAGTTAGCAGAATGGGATGTTTTAGGAAACTTTGAAAATACCACTGCATTCTGTTTCATTTTTGCACACAATGACATACTGTGCACCATCTGCATGTTTTATTCTTGTAATATATTCATATTATCTGTCTTGGTCATAAATCTGTTTATTATTCATGCTGTTATTCTTTTTATTGAGTGTTGATTTCTTCATATAAATTACAATGTACAAGTCTTTTTGAAACTGATTTGCATACGAGTGCGGTATTAGCAACAGATTGCCCACTCATCAATACATTGAATGCCATGCTCCCGTCAACAGATGTATGCAGACCAACCAAACCTTACTCACCCATTTTATTTACTGTATAATAAATACATTCATTCTCAATGTAATTTCAAAGTTTGTGTGTGATTGACATAATTATATACATTAATATATACATTCTGATAAATTTGCTATGTTCACTAATATTAAAATGTCATATTTAATTTATCCAAATTATGAATTTTAATTTTGACACATAATTATTACTGGGTGTTATAAAATATATATATATCAGCAGAATATTGGAACAAAACCATTATAGCTGTGTTCAATGGAAAACTGCAATATTGATTATGAATGAAACTATGGAGTACTTTATGTATAGTCGCCTTTTATTACGGGTAATGTTAAAACTCAAACTTCATTCCATATGTTTTGCTGCACCTCCCCACACATACTGTAGAATTAAAACTCTTCCTTTTTGTGGTTTCCAATTTGAAACAATTGTCAACTAAAATTCTGCAAAATTTCATTCAAGCTACATGCTGTTACTTTATCATCTATTGTAGATATTCCAAGTAATAATGATTTGCAACCAAGACCAATTCATTGGGCTGCCGTGAATGGACACATAGCAGTGGTAGACATACTATTACAGGCTGGCGTTTCCATAGATACCACAGATGCGAAAGGTTGCACGCCATTAATTATTGCATGCCAGTATGGTCAGACTATGCTTGCTGGTTATTTGATGGGCAAGGGGGCAAGACTGCAGCTATGTGACAAAGAAGGAGACAATGCATTGCATTGGGCAGCATTTAAAGGTATGAATATTGTGGGTTTGAAAGTCCAGAGTACACACAATAGAGATCAAATTGTGGCCCCAATGTCACTTTTCACCTCCATTCACAAAATTTAATGCTACAATTTTAATAGATCTTTTCTAAAACTTTGATTAGGAACTGTAGCTCATAAAAAAATAGGTCCATTTTATTCAAAATGATGAACAAAATAATGGAGAAATACTTAAAAACAGGCAATTTTGGCAATAAAAATTATGGCATTCAATGCAGATTCTAGCCTAAGAATCACATAAACTGATACCACAGAATCTGAGGTTGAATTTGAACTATAATTTGATGCTGTAGTTAAAGTTGCATTCCTACTTTGTAAATATTTAATACAATATATATGGACTACTATGAGAGATATTTGAAGTTACAAAAGTACACAAATAACAAGAAAACGACCCTGAAACTTTATTTTAGGTGGGCCACCTAAATTATTAGCCGAAGACCAATGAACAAACATCGGCGTGCTTTCCGCGCGGTCCATTCCAATCCAAATCTGACCAATAGGGTGAAGGCAGTTCATCTCAAAACCCTGACTGACTGCCGTAGTAGAAAACGGCGCACAGATCAGCGTACAATGTCGAACTAGAAATAGTGCTCTAACTTTCAATAGGTGATTTTCCATACAATTGCGAGATCTCGCGAGATGCATGAAAGACGCGCGTCGAACGTCTGCCGCAAAAAACGAACGATTTGATTTTGAACTAGAATTTCTTTTTTTCGTGGCTTACATTGACCGGCCGATCTTCGACAGAGGAATATTGCTTCCGAATACCCTTACTTACCCTTACTATCATCAAATGTGGACAGCACATTATTAAGCAAGGAAATGTGATTATGTCCCCGAAATACTTTCGCGTTTGACGAATCCCATGCGATGTTTGACGCGACTACGACGCTATGACCTTTGTTTGTCCTGTTTTTATGTTCGATTTCACGCATAACGCGTGATTCTCGCAGTGAACGGAAAATGGTCTATTGTGGAATGATGGTCGCCGAAAATGATCGGAACGGTTCGGTAGTGACCGGGAAAGTTTGATTATTCGCATTTTTGGCCAGATTTCTCATTATAAGTGCACTTTCGTTCCTTCAAATATCACTTATAGGAATTCATGTATAGCATTTAACATTTTTTGCAAAGTGGGAATGCAACTTTAAGTAACAGTTGTATCTACAACCAAAGTCTAAACACAATTTGAATGTAATGTTATGTTTTGCTATTTTACAGTAACAATCCTTAAGGTTTGTTTTGTTTGTTGCTTTTAACATTGACCTGGTAATGAATGTCAGTGAGATGGCTTACAGACAAACCTGACATCTGTTAGTGTAAATAGTTTTTACGACTCTGTCATCTGTCTATAAAATGAATATAAAATATTATTGTCCATTTATAAATTAATTAATTTTAATATTTTATATTTTTTGTGTGTTGTTAATTTGATCATACACAAGGCATCATTATAACACTAATACAATATCAATAAAGATGACTACTATCCTGTTTACTTGTGTTTGTTGGGTATATAAGTCAATGATTTACTAGTACTACATAATGTACATTATCATGCATATAAATGACTTGTTCAATATGCAGGAATTAATTGAGAGACAGATATCATTGTCCAGTATGTGGGATGTTGATTGTGAAATATAAATGTACCTCAAAGTCTGGCAAGTAAACAGGTTTGTTTGCATGACTAGAAAACTTACTTGTAATTGTCTTTTCAGGTTATTGTGAGTTGACGAGATTATTAATCTATTCTGGTTTTAATCCAAGACAAAGAGATACTTATGGCCAGGTGAGAAATTCTTAATCATCAATATTTGATTTGATTCTTTCATGACCTAAAAGAAGATTGTACAGTAAATGTGATCTTGATATAGTTTTTCAAACCCCAGAATACCCTCCAAATATTACACTATAGCCAAAGATTTGCATGTTTGTTTTGCTTGTTTTTGCAAGGCCGATACAAGTTTGAGAAATATTTTTGTTCGTGTTTCTGAATCCAGTGAAATCTGCCCATTAATTTCTAAATGTTAAACTGTTAAAATTTTTCAAAATGATAGTATGAGGGCGCTATAATGTGGAATTGAAGTACTCCATCCACAGTCCTTCAACACTGTGCTCCATCCTGTATATTTTTGAGACGGTCATGTGACATGTCCTAGAAAAGTTAGCCTGTGTAGAACCATATATAGTGTAAAGTATACCTATATATATTCCATTTTTTGCCATATACTTAGACTAGTATATGATATTTTGTCCCTGTTTTTTGAAAACATTAATGCATCATAACAACCTGTATTGTCATGTAATTTCTTTTGCAATTTTGGACCAAATAGACAGAATTTGATATTGGCTGAGGTACATTGATGCAAATGTTTGAAAAAATATGGAAAATGGGTTTATTTTGTGAAAAAATGACAAGCGTTAAGCATGAATGTAGATTATAATTGCAAATCAGTGAGTTGGATAATCTTTTGAGATGAACACACAAAAAGAATGATGAAAGCCCTGCACCAGAGATACTCATTAATTATCAAATCTATTTTCTTGCAGACGCCATTGCATCTTGCTACTCTCAGCGGTGATCTACTCTCTGTCAAGATGCTCTGTGAACAAGACGGGGTTGATTTTGAAATAGAAGACAATAATCACAAGACACCGTTGATGCTCTCTCAAGGCAGAAAACATACGGATATTACAAATTATTTAAACAAAAAACTCAAAAATCAGAAAAGTTTAATTCCTCACATAGACTTTAAGTAAGTATTTAAATGTATGATTTTTATTGTTTTAAGTGACATAATAACCTGTCTAAACTGAACACCGAAGGAACTGAAAGATTGTACAGTTTACACAGGTTTTCTATTTGATATAATTATTACCGGGGTATATACTTGTTTCTAATTCTGCAGGTCCACAGAGAAGTTAGTGATAAAGCTACCGAGGTGGTTCAGTTTAGACATGTTCTTGTGTCTTACCGGTATTTAAATAAATTTCTTAGTTATGCAGGGTATGCTTTAGTTCCCAGTTTATACAAATAGGTTTCACAATATAATGCTAACACGATGTCAGTATTTTTGCTTTCAAGTTCAAGGCCATCACAAGTTCAAGGCCATCACAAGTTCAATTTATAAAATCATGCAATGAATACCAATAGTATTATATGTAGAAAAGTGAATCTCATTAGTTGCTGTTCGAGGGTAGTTAAACCTCTGTGCAGCTGGGAATGCTTCAGTCCGCCCCGTATCTGAGCCAAGTACATTCAAACCTCACTCGCACATAATATCATACATACATGTTTGTATGTACATGCATTTGCTTCATAATCCAATTCAAGATGGAGGAATGGCGGCCATTTTAGTTAACAGTTCATCAAAATTTAGCATTTATGCCACCTGTAACAAACTTACATCATGCATATTGAATTTATGTGCACATCATATTTTTTTCTAGATTGGGAAACAATGACTGATGTGTGACCATTTTGTTTTTATACTGTACTATAACATACATTATGTACCGGTACATTAAATACTTTTAGCTGGAATTAATTTCTGCCTTTTGGTTGTTTTGTTTGGAGTTTATTTTAACTGATTTTTGATGAATGTAAAATATAGGAAAAAAGGTATATTTGTCATATTTTTTTTTGATTAGAACAAAATAAACCAACAATCAACTATTTTCTATGGTATCCAAGGTAGTTTCTCTGCTGTGCATGTGTGATTGTACTTACCACATTTTGTAAGCCCATTGACTTTCAATCATACTGGATTGAAATTAACATACAGATGATGCATCGGGCCCTTTGGAAAACATATACATGTGATTGATTGAACACAGAGATCGTCTACCGGTATAAATAAAATGGAAACCGCTTTGTCAATGCTTTTTTTGTTTACCAAATTGTAAATTCCACAATTATAGTAAGATATTTTTCAAGGTAACTTTTTTAATTTTGATTTTTTATTGAATCAATGCTATGCCAGGGAGTGAGCATATTAAGTAGTTGTGTCATATGTCTATGTGATATTGGCTTAAATGACACACTAAACCTAACTATGGTACATTTGTTTCTACCTCTGTAGGAGTATTGTATTCGGTCCACCAGGCAAGAGTAAAGCACCCTTACTGTTCTTTTTAATAAATGTATTGTGTTGGGGATATCCTATGTATATATTTAAAGTAAGTCTGTCTTTATTCTTTTAATCATACCGTACTTCCCCGAGTATAAGCCCCTCCCCAAGTATAAGCCCCTCCCCGAGTATAAGCCCCTCCCCAAGTATAAGCCCCTCCCCGAGTATAAGCCCCTCCCCGAGTATGAGCCCCTCTCAGAGTATAAGCCCCTCCCCGAGTATAAGCCCCTCCCCGAGTATAAGCCCCTCCCCAAGTATAAGCCCCTCCCCGAGTATAAGCCCACCCTCTGTTTTTAGACATTTAACAGGTTAAGGGCATCCCTGAGTATATGCCCAGGGTGTTTTTACCGGACGTCAACGACATTTATTACAAGAATGTATGTAAAAAGTGTATTTCATTGCATATTAATCGTGACCGCATAATAACCGCATTGCGTTGAAAAAATGACTTCGTCAATAATCGAAAAACTTCGTCTGTATGACACAGCATTTTGATTGGTTAATGAAAGACGTGACCTATTAGGTCAAAGGAAGTTGTTCAGGTCAAATCATGATGAAAAACACCATGGAGGAATTTACTTTGTATCGAGAGTTTGCGTACAATCGAAAACATTTCACAACGAAGAGAATGATAAAAATCTTGCCTTCGACTGTTTTCCCACAGACCCTACACATTTTTGCACCGTAAATTCAGACGGTATGTAAACCGTATTGTAATAAAATGTTTATGATCATGTTTGTTTCTTCATTGTAAAAAGTGTCGCAGAAATAAAAAAAACGTAATATTTCTCTGAGACTGGCGCTATGAACAAAAAATGTAATTTGGATAATTTTTTGTGGTTGGGAAGATAGTTACAATTTTAAACCCCCTAAAAAATGATCTTTTCTGAGGTGGTCCTTGAGTATAAGCCCAATCCCTAATTTTCCCAATTTTACATGTTCAGGCCCGTGGGCTTATACTCGGGGAAGTACGGTACCTATCGTACTGTTTATTGACATTATTAAAGTTAATGGCCACAGTGATTTCGCATCTGTCTCAGCTCTTCATATTAAATATGATTCACACTATCGCATTTATTCTATTAGAAGCACACATAAGCCAACAAATAAAATTATTGTATACTGGATTTTGATAAATATTTTTTTCATTTTTTGGTGAAAAGTGATGTTTTTTTTTACTTTTTCTTGCAATAATGATTGCTTTGACCTTCGTCAGATTTGTTAATTTTGTAACGATACCTTCAATTCTCTAATTTAATTATTTCATTTCAGTCTGTGTATATTTTAAAACTTTAGATATGCACCATACAGCATGTTGTGCATATGCATATGTATTTCATTTGACAATCAATTCAGGATGGCTGAATGGCGGCCATTTTTTATGCTAACAATTCATCAAAAGCAAGCATTTCTGCCAATCTATGGATGTTTCGTTCAAACTACTGTAAAATACTTTATTTTAGCTGGAATTAATTTTCGCTGAAAAGACTTTGGGTGTTTTGTAGGGAACTAATTTTCACTGATTTTTGAAAAGCTGAATGTAAAATATAGGAAAAAAGGTATATTCGCTGGAATTTATTTTCACTGAACCCTTCCTTCAGCGAAAATTAATTCCAAACAAAAATAAAGTATTTTACAGTATTAGATTGAGATGATAAACACTGTTGGTTCCTAGTGCTGCTCCTGTGCAAATGAAAAACCCAGGCAACATTTGTTTTTAGTTCACATAAGAGCTTGCCATCGCGATCAGAATGGATGACAGAATGAATCAGTCAGTATTCTAACTTCACCCTATTTTGTTTTTACATTCCAGGGTCTAATCACATTTCCATTTATACCACATTGGCATTATATTTTTATCGCTGTCAATTGTGTTATGTGGTATTCATTTTACAAAGCATGTCTCACCGATCCAGGATTCTTTCAGAAGAACTCAGCCGACTATGACAGAGCCATCAAACAGGTATCACATATACTATTTATAATATACACAACACAATAAACTCAGTGTTCTCTAAAAAGCCGGTACTTTATAAACCACTAATGATGCCATTATATTTCATTCATATTAATTATTTGTGGAAGACTTCAGCAGACATATTTGAAAACGTTTGAATCATGGTACAATCTCATTTCATGTATCAGAAGTGCGCCTCCATAGCGACGACCAGACAACAGTGACGTTTGTTTTGTTTGTATTTTTAATTTGATGTTGGTATATGTCAGTCCACATGACATCGTCATTACATACATTTTGTAACTATCTAAGTCACGTTTCTATAGCTTTTCTAACAGGATTTGTTAACCTGTTGAGTGTATATGTAGTAAGTGGCCTGTTATTTGGATGAATGTAGTCAGGTGGTGAACATTAAACATTAGATTTATTTTAGATCTGGGTTTCTTGACGTTTATGCACTTCCATTTCTTAATTAAATCCCATTGTAGTAAATTAGTGATCCTGTTTTACATTCCTACTTTTTGTGGTCTTGTCTGTGTCACTGGTCTTTCAGGTCGCACACTTTGACGAGTGGAAGCAAGGTAAAAACCCGCTTACAAGGCTGTGCCATACGTGTAGGATCGTAAAACCGCTCCGTACCAAGCACTGCAAGATATGTAATCGATGTGTCATGCATTTTGATCACCATTGCCCGTATATCTATAATTGCGTTGGTTATTATAACAGGTGAGTAAAGTGTGTTTGGTTTCAGTTTATAATAGGTCATAACTCTCATATACAAATGTGCTAAAAATAGTGTAAATATTTATATAAATATTCCACTGCTTGGAATTTCTGCAATTTGACAATTTAATGACATTTGTCATTGCCTTTAGTTTACCCGGAACGAAGAGGACAAACTAACTAACTTAGTTTACAATGAGCTTTTCTGGTCGCTAAAACTCTATCTCCACCTCTGTTTGGATGAACTTCTGTATGTTATCATACCTAGTTTTAATACTTTTATTTTGGTTAATATCATTAATGATAAAATTGACAACATTTATCTTGTCAGGCATTGGTTTGTCATCTTTGTGTCGTGTATTGCGATCAACGCGTACATCACTGAAATAATAGCTGCTATGTTGATTAAACTAGAAGGCATGAGATGGCTTTACGTAATAGGATTCCTCCAAGTAGTGTTTTTTGGATTCATCGCAGTGGGACTGACATGTGCAACAGTAAGTGCTGTTTTCAATAGTAAATTAAACCCAATACTGTAAAATACTTTATTTTAGATGGAATTAATTTTTGCTAAAAAAAAACTTTTTTGTACATTCATGTCATTTCCACTCCACCTCCAACATGTAACGTCACATACAAAGGGTCTATTATTAACATACATTTAGGTTACCAGTTTTCAAGTTTACCAGGAAACTATTTGTAATACGGCTGATTATTATATTATCTTGTATGCATGATACTGTGGAATACTTTATTTTCGCTGGAATTAATTTTCGCTGAAAAGGCTTTTTGGGCATTTTGTATGGAATTTATTTTCACTGATTTTTGATGAGTTTAATGTGAAATATAGGGAAAAAAATTATATTCGCTGGATTTTATTTTCACAGAATCATCCCTTCAGCCAAAATAGCGAAAATAAAGTATTCTATAGTACAAAGAATTACCAAGTGTAACTTACTTTTGTTTTCCAGTGGTGCATGGCAGCGTTTAACATCACAACGAATGAAAGAATGAACTGGAAGCGATACGACTACCTCAAAGATGCACACGGGCATTACCATAACCCTTATAATAAAGGAATCAAAAGAAACGTACAAGAGTTCTTCCATGTTAAACCACCCCCACGTGATGATGAAGTCAACCAGTCCAGAACATTCATTGTTTAATGTATTAGGCTTAACAAATTTATTTAGACTAGTTGATTTTTTCATGTAGGGGTGAGAGGGTGTTAAATGATGGGAAAGCAATGTATTTTTGTAGTGTGAATTTTCTTACACTATGTGCCTCAGCTGTTTTTTTTTTCAATGAGGGTACGAAAAGTGATTGCAATAATGTCTATTTAAAAGACAAACTTATTTATGTGTGTCACTTAAGAATATAATAATGTTAATTCAATATATTAAATGATCACAAGTTTTTTGATGATTTATACATACATCAATTAAATTAAATGCCAAAGATTCAGAGGGGCAAACTGGAACTGACTTCAGATTTATTTTACTAGAGTATATTCTAAAGTTCCGATTGATGTTATCACATCACACATACACTATGATCCTTGTAGAATAATTGTAATAATGCATGTATAATTGCAATTTATTCTTATTTTATTATGCACGAGGTATTAAGGTCTCTAAAACAAAATAAACATGGAAAATGGATTCATCTAAAATGACTCATTCACTGCTTGAAGGCATAACTTCTTAATTACTATCAGTCAATCATCTTTAGAACCCAGACTACTACCGGTAATGTATGACTACTATTATCATATTTACTCTCTGAAAGGACACATCAATAAAAAAAAAAAAAATTGTAAACTGAATTCTCAAAATATGACTCAGCAGGACCATTAACCCCCTTTCATTTATATACATGCACTTTTAATAGAGAAAGTACGGTATAGAAATGTATGTTTCAAACATTTGTTCTTGTATGGTTACCAGGCTGGGATGCTATATTTTAAATGTGATTTCTACAAGATTGGATTCTTGGCAGTTTTTGAAAGTTTATCACAGACTGCTCTCATAAGTGACATGTGTGTTCTTATAATAAATCATGGAAAAAATCTCTGTATATTTTATTTGAAGAATTTTTAAGCTCCACTGTCATCAGAGATGACAGAGGGAAGCTGTTCATATAGGTGATTGTCTGTCATCTGTTCGTTTGTCCATCAACAAATGCATTTTCATCTTCTGGAAAACTACCAGCATGAAGACATCTTCAATTCTCTATTTCATGACAAGAAAATTGTAGAAACACTAGTAACCATGGTAAATAGTTAATATTTCACCGTACAGAGCATTATTAACTTTGTTTTAAGGAAGACACTCTGGTTGTTTTGTTCATATGACAGTGTACCTCAATTAGTGCCTGTGGTCTTTTTCATTATTGCTTTTTTTTTTTCTCTTCAAATTAAGATGTGCAGAGGATTATGGTTAGTAACATTTGCTGTAGAAACAAGTCTGCAAAGTTAAACATAGCGGGTATTATTTAAATTAGCAAGTACATTTTCAATGGTCAAACATTTCTGTGTGTATCCAGCAATGTGTGCTTGATTTGATTGTACATGTTGTTTTATTTTACAAAATGGCATTAAAATATTTTTATGTAAATTTAGGTTTGTAAACTTCCTGAGAATTTTATTCATGATATTAAAATTCTTCTTGTATTTGATCTATTTCATCAATGATGTCCATTTACTGCTAAGATTCTAATATCACCATAATTAGAGTTATCACCAAGGAATCCTGTTGTGCAACAACTTTTTAGTCCCTGCTCAGACATTGTCTCCACCTGCATTTCAGACATGCCTTGGCCGATTTCATTCAAACCTCATGAACACATATCATACATATGCATTTGTTTCATGATGTGCATCATTTTTTTGGCATCAGATTGAAAATGATAGACTGACTGCCATTTTAACGTTGGCTATTTTAGTGTCTAAAAATCAATCATTTCTGCCACTCCAGACTGAGATCTTGGTCATGCATGGACACATTTCATTAAAACTTTGTATGTCCATTGAACGTAATTTGTCCTTCTTGCATATATTTTTTTATATACAAAATGGCCGATTGATGGCCATTTAGTTTTAAATGAATGCAGTTTTTGGAGCCATATTTCCAACGTGGCTGGATTTATCATTTGCAAACATTACACATAAATCATGAAACACAATTTCACATGTTTCAGTTTCAGAATCTGACATCTTTTATTTAATACGCAAATAAGGCAGAGTTGAGTTGTGAATATAATTTGAGGGAAACAAGGTGGTTTTGAAATGGCAGACTGATACATTTAGTAGTTACATTTTTAGGCTTGCCTATGGGTTGTTTAAACATAGGAGAAACATAACTATCTAAAAGCAGCCTAGGGAGAAAGAAATAAAAAAAATTTAATTTTTTTGGAGGCATACTCAAAGTTAATTTAAGATTAGCCTTTCAAACAAAAAGCTTGGTGATTAAAATTGGTCTGCTATTTGAGATACTCAATATGAAAACAATGTAATCCACAGTATTGAAGTTTATAATACTCAATCTGCAGTCCGATTCCAGAGCAGGTCTACTACGAGGTCAATTTAGATCTGATTTTTTTTGAGATATCAGAAATAATTAGATGAATGCATTTTCTTCATTAAACTAATGTCAGTTGATTATTCCAGGAATTCAGCCATTCCAAGTACACCTAAGAATCACTATGCAACTACGTGGCCAACCAAGAATTCTGTGTCATCACTGATTGATAATCTCCATGACATCAGTACATTGCCATGGCAACATGCATGCACAGACTGAACCATAGGCGAGGTCCGCTCACAACATTCAGACAAATTCACTAATCTTATTCATAGATTTTTCTACATTCTCACTATACTTTACAATTTTATCAAATTTCTAAGGATTTCGCTGATAAAAGAACACTTTTCTTTCAAAAAAAAAATCTTTATTTACAAATAAAACAATTTGCACTGCAAAATACACCCAAATATTTTTTTAGATGTTTTTTATACTGGTATTTATAATATACATCGTTGGGAATCCACTGAAGTGATGTACTAAGAGCTTTTGTCGTCATGACATTTACTTCATATCCTTGAAATGAAAGCATAACCTCAATACATGATAGTGTGAACTTACAAAATGTTATATAAATTACATAGCAATCGGTGAAAAACAACTATGGCAGTACACACACAAAAATAAGACTAATACCAGAAACAGTATTGGCTTTGATAATAATATAAAACTTTACAGTTTTGATCAAAAGGTACTACATTTGCAGTAAATATTCAGCTGACTGTGGTGAGACAATCCTCTTCACTCGGCAAGTCTGCTACAAGGTTAAGATTCAACAGTTTTAGCATGAGAAATAACCCAAATATACATGCTATAATACTATACAATAGACTTGCATAAAAGCTAAAAATATATGTGTTAAATATATGTCGTAGCATGTACAAGTCAGTTAAATAGAGTTACATGTACGTAAGCACATGCGCCTCTAATAGACAAAATATGGTGTACATCACTCAAGTCAATCTGATTAAAATCTGATGTAGTGTACGGGCTTTAATTATTTTGGCTATAAACTTATTTTAATTTTATTTTTTATTACTTTTGTTATTAATGCCTTTTAATTTTATTATTTTACTTTGATTTTGTGATTTTTTTTTAATTCTGCCCTACCTACATCTGAGCCGATGCCTATGTAACGAGATTTCAACGAGACCCACTATCGACGATTTTAGTCAACGAATCACAGACCTCCTTCTATAGCGCACATGATGACGTCACCGGGCGGAGTCGGGTGGCAAACACTCAAATAAAATGGCGGATTATACCGACGTTAGCGACCGAGAATAACACGGCTTTACGGTAAGTTTATCATTGTCAAATGCAACGAAAGTCATTTTTATGTTAATATTGTGGCTCGAATGGTTCGACTTTAGATCGTTATTTTGCATAGTTATTCTGGGAGTGACGATTTTGTTTCCACCGTTTCGACCGAACACCAGTGTCTTTTTCCAGTCGCCTG